CAGTATTTTCTTTTATTGCATGTAAATGCAGGACGTAATTGTAATGGCTTCTATTTATGTCATTTGCCAAGCGAATGTTTGGTAATGTGCATTTCAATGATTGCAGTGGAAATTAATTATCCTTTGCCACTGGAACGCTGTACACTGTTTTGTTTTTTACATTATGTTAAATCTAATTAGCTGGTTAATAACCGTAAGTGGGGGAACAGTTGTGGAGCAAACACCTCATGTTCAAAGAAAAAGCCCTGCAGTGGGGGCTGAAGTAAGTTTTGCACTGCTCAAGTTTATATTTATATTATTTTAAATATAAACTCCTCTGACACATTAACTCCTGAATTGGCATTAAATAAGATTAATATTCAGCCTGTGTTTTCCCCAACACTCACCAAAACAAAGTGTCCTCTTCAAGAATACATGTGAAAGCATTATTCTGAAGTCTTATTATTTAATGGTATTTGTGTTTACTGTGTCTGACATTTCACCAGCTATTAAAGTACATAGATAATGTATACAGAGTCAAAAAATAGATGAAAGAAAATCTGTACATTAGCTATGAACAGAATGTATATTATATATTTCGTTTATGAGTGTGTGTTCAGCCAGACTTTGTTTTCTCCATCAGAACGTTTACTGAAAGACATCTATCAGTCTAAGTCTCAATAATTCTGCTCTTTTTATTGCAGTCAAACATTTTACTTTTCGTTGTATTTATTTCAAATACTTTTTCCGACACTCTGATGGTACATCTCTCATTGTTCTTTCTTTAGGTCCAACTGGTAGGGACGGCTGCTGCTTCACATACGATTGCTTGTTGTTATTTTGTGTCCCATTTTTACCTCATTTTGACCCCAAAAGACCATCTACATATGGCAACATAAAACTCAGACGTAAAGGTGTAGAGTTCAATCTGAGCCTTCTTAAGGGAGGAAGGGTTGGTTTTCATGGATATAACTTGCAAAAGATTCAAACAGACTCNATTTTATAAAAACAGTATATTAGTGTTTAAATTTGGCTGTAAATTTACAGTAATGTATTACAGTGTGATGTAATTATATAGGCATGATATGCATTCATGATCAAGATTATCATCACTTGTAATGTTGAAGTTTAGGTAGAAATGGATGCAACAAGCATTAAAGAATACTGTAGTGAGTCAGTCAAAACATATCTGGCAAGGTTTTCAAATCATTTTTCAAGGTCTTGCTGAAATTTGTCTTGTAAAAATTCAAAACCGGATTACTGATCAGTAAACACTGACAAACACTTCTACTGGTTTAGCATGTTTACGCTTCAGCTCCCGCATTATTCTAAGCGAGCTCCTTCTCTTCCACAGGAGAGTGGACCCCCGAATCCGACGATTCTGTACATTTTGGTGAGTTCTGCCTTCGGATTTCTGATGACTCACATTGGACCACTTCCAAACCAGATCCCCAACCGACTCCAACGTCTGCTCAACCAAACCGACCGACTGAAAAGGCGCCCAAAAAGCCACAGAAAAGAATCATCAAACCAGTCCCGCTGCCTGAACCTTCCAGCATCCCAGACGACCTGCCGGAGGTTGTCACCCATGACTACACTGATATTGTGAGAGTGCCAGCCAACCTTTTACATGAACAACGTGAGTCTTTTTTTCTTTTCTTTTTTCTGTTTGTCCCAGTTCTACGGAGCCCCAGCAGGGATGTGGAGAAAGAAAAAAAAAACAGGGAGAGGAAAAAAAATAGAGGTATCTTTTGCGAGATCTTGCAATAACTTTTGCAGGATCTTGCAAAACTATAGGTAATTCCTGTCCAATAGGTGGCGGTAACACACCTGAACGTTGGATCCCACCAACCTCTTGCTCAGAAGGAGTCCAAAGGCTACTTTGGATTGTTGGGTTCTCTGTCGAAATTTGTAAGGTCTATACCTTATTTTGCTAAGCGCTATGTGATGACATATGTTGTAAACTGCGCTATACAAATAAAATTGAATTGAAATTGAACCGCCAAATCAATAAAATAATAATAATGAGAAGTACTAAAGATATATATACTTCTGAAGCTTTTTGTATGGAGAAACAACAATGGAGGACACCCACCCGTACGAGAGCTTTTATTTTGAAATCGGCCTCAAATATAAAGACATTTAAGTGCTAAGCAAGAAACACAGTTTTCACGAAACATCCAATAAGATTGATGTGACTTTTGCGAGATTCCAAGAAAGTTTTGCAAAAGATACCTCTGGTTTTTTCCCCCCCCTCCCCCTGTTTTTTTTTTTCTTTCTCCATGTCTCCAAAGGTTCTTTTAAAAATAAAACTGCAGTAACTCTTATGCAATTCTGCTTTTGAAATATCCTTTTAAATATCATTTTCTCAAGCCTTAAGTGGATGTCGCTGCAACGAGGAGAAAATGAAACAGCCAGGTGAAACCTCCAGAGTTGTAAGCCTGATGAAATGGTACCCCAGTGAAACCTGTAGCTCAGCTGAATACATGTAAGTGACTGAACCTTAACAGTGTAGCTTGTTGATAGTGATAACTGTCCAGGATGTGCATAGACAGTGGAAGGATAGAGGGATAACTGTGATGCTTTGGGTTAAAGTTCTAGTGTTTCTGTGTCCAGTTTCAGTCAATGTAAATCACTTTGAGTCGTGAATTAAGCAGATTTAGACGACGGAGGTGGTGAATAGAGCTGCAAGTGCTCAATTAATTAGTATTTTGATTTCATGTTAGACGTTTCATGTAAAGCCCTATTCCTGTCGAAAAGCTGCTTTCTAATTCTAAAAGCCCTCCTCCATGTAGTGCACTTCAGACTGGTTCCAGATCTTTAAAAAAACTATACAGTCGTCCTCAAATGTATTCATACCCTTCCATTAAAGAAAAGGCAAAAGTCACTCAAATAACTAGAAACTGAAAAAAGTAACCAAAATCAGAATCGCTGTCAACAGGTGCAGAAGTCTGACTGAGAGTTACAGAAAACACCTGATGGCAGTGATTGGCTCAAAGGGTTGTTCAACAAAATATCAGTTTACGGGTCCCATCATGCTTGTTTGCTCTTGTTGTTGTTTGATATTTCTGTTGAACCACAATTCAAAAGCATGATTTTCATTAAACTTTTATTCATTGTTACTTTTGTCAATTTCAACTTATTTCAGTGATGGCTGTGTTTTTCCTTCTTTAATGGGAGGGTATGAATAGATTTGAGGACGACTGTATACAGATAATCTGGACTAGGTTATGCTAGAGAGGATAAAGGCTTTTAAATAGCAGTCTCTGATTTGAGAAAGAAAAAAAAGGGAGATAATAGGTGACAGTTTTTGATCATGTTAGCAACTGTGGCAAAGAAAGAATTGTAATGACTCGAACTTTCATTTTTCAGAGAGACATTGGCAGATGGCAGAGAGGTTTGTGTGGCTCCATTCAACCTGTTTACATACTTTCATTCTTTACTGAGGTGAGTGTGCGCCACCCGATGGCAGATTTCACTTGCAACAGCTTGCAACAAAATGTCAAATAAACTTCCACGTCATCCAATTAAAGCTGCACACGCGGGACACAGAAATGAGTAGCTCCTTTAATTTTCAGATTAAATGAGCCTACGCAACATTGATTGAGCAATGGCCACGGCAGAATGTCATTTGCTGTTAGATCCTGAGCGATCCAGTCCTCCGCGTCAGAGATGATTAAGAGTTTTGGATAATTCATGAAGCCGAAGCTGTTGTGTGTTGGAGACGCTCATGGATCCCGCTGCTCTGTGTTCAGAGGAAAGACTCGTGCAGCGAGCAACAAACGAAATGTCAGATCCTAATAAAGGCATGAGGAGTTATTATTGGCGAGCCACATTGATCTAGCTTGTCGCAATCACATTAAAGATGCATTTTATCGACATTTTAATGTATAATGGATGTAGAGCAAAGTTGTTGTGGCAACACTCAACATATATAAAAGGTTTTGTGAATTTTGAAGAAGATTCTTCTGTTTTTTTGGGAAGAGCTTTGTCACCAGCGAGGAGGAAATTCAGTCATTTACGTCAATCACAACGAGCAAACCCTGAGTGTATCGCACATAGCAAAGCTGCATTTTGTTGCTTATGAATTCGGTTCTTGCTTTGTAAGAAGGGCTGTGTGTTAATTTTCACTCTCAAAGTCCCATATTGTGGCCCAAATGAATCAAGTCCCACGTGTTCCCAGTATGTGTTGCGCAATTTCCACCTCAAACGACTACAAAAGTGGTGCTGGTCCCTGGTTTTAGTCCTGTTCTACGGGACTGTGTAAAGTGTGTGGTTTTAGGAAGACTCTCTCTGTTGATATAGTTGTGAATGAGTGCCAAAAACATTCTGCCTGTCCTTCTTTTAACTTTTCTTCTTCTTTTTCCTCATGTATGGTGAATTGGTCAGGCAATATTGCAGTTATAAAATCAGTGCTGTAGCGGTGCAGACCAGTAGAGTTTCGGTTGCACTGAGGCACAACAGCGGAGATGAAAACACGATTGGGTATTGAGTTTTTAATTTTTTTAAAATAATGATTTAACCATCTATGAATACCTCCCAGCTGAACAATTTCTGTGGACGTATGATCAAAGTGAATGGTCACGCTAAAGATTTAACTGTTGTTGTGGTGGCACTGTCATCGATAATAAAGTAACACACTGACTCTTTGGCTCTACAGATGCTGGGGGTGCATAAAGACTCTTGTGTTCACTTCTTGTTTGGTGTGTTTTGCTTGTCGCTGACACAATTTGGAGTTGACAGAAGCAGCTTGAGAAAGTAAATAAACCTGGCAGACTGGAAGAAGTAGGGAGCGAGTGGGCAGAGTTACGTAAATTCTCAGCGAGGTGGTTACCTGGTTTAACCATGGCAAATAGTCTAGCTATGGGGGAGCTATAAGAATGACAGTATAGCATATTTTCAGAGCTTTTATTTTACACCAAGTTTTATAAAACATACAATTGCAATGAAAACTGATTTTCACTGTGTGGGACCATTAAATGTTAATTTGAAAAGTTCCTGTTCAGTTACAATCCATTGCCTTGTCTAAATAAAATGCTTTTGTTCCAGTTAATTCAGGTTACTCACAGAAAATTTCCATCCTGAAGAAGAACAAACTAGCCCAAGTTAAGAAAGTGTTGCTGTAATATAACATGATAAGAATCGTGTTGATTTTTAAAAGCTAATGTCAGCTGTTTTCTTGCCGATAAAACAAATAACTTGTACATCCTGGGTGTACATTTCCTGTAAGTTCACTTGCTGATAAGAATATATGACTCATTCAACCCACAGCTCCTTGTCTAAGCCTGACACTTTGGCAATCCCAAATCAAGGCTATTCAGACGACTACAACGACTACGACGACAAAGTCAGGAATCCACCTAAAGCCACTGAAATAGAGGGAAAGACTGTTCTATACCCCAGTCCTCCCAAGGAACATGCCTCAGTGAACCAACTTAAAGCTCAGAGCAATCATCAGTCCATCAACCCCCGTGAGTTTTGCCGTGACATAGTCATGTAAAATGATGACAAAAGCTTTTCCCTAATTTGTACATTGAAGTTTGTGTGGTTTGTCTTTACAGCAGCTTGCTGGGCCTGCACCTCACTCATAACAAATTTGGACCAAAAGGTTGTACAGTCCCTGGATGTGGAGATGCAGCCATTGCCTTGTCCTCTTTATATTTCGTAAGATTCCAGCTACTACATTTTGAAAAAAAAAAAAAAAAAAACTTGTACAAACGTGGATTTATTTGCATTAAGATTGTCCATCGATTAATTTTAAATTGAAATTTTTGTGCACTAATATGGTAGAATTCAGGGTTGACCATCAATAGATGAGTAGATGGATACAAGATTAACAAAAGCTGACAGGAGCCTGTTGTAAGCAGTTAGAGTAATATAGTGGATGACTGATTGATTGGCACACATTACTTATTTCATACATATTCTTGATTTATCTGTATAATTGTGGTATTGTCAAAAACAAAATAATGATTTCTGTTACTCTCTGTTGCCTCACAGCATCAAACTAAAAGACAACTTGTCTTTGTGTTTTGAATTGTTGGAGTTTGAGAGAGGGTTGCACAGCTTGGGAATACCCCTATCACTTGAAGATAATTCTGAGAGCACACCAACAAACAGTTTGTGAAAATATCTTTTTTTTTTTTTTACAGATGTTTTGATGTTATTTCTACACAGAGATTTTGCCAAGCTCTTTTCTTGTCTTGTTTAACCAGCAGCAACCCACCACCTTGGACATTTTGCTTAAGAAATCAGTTAATTGACTAATCGCTGCAGCTCTATATAACAAACATGACATTTTTTTAAAAATTGTATCCCCTTCAAGTTGTTGATGGATGTCGGTGCAAAGAGAAAGCCATGAAACTTCCAACCGAATCTTCCCCAATCAAAAATGCAAGGATCTGGCTCTCCGATGAAAGGTGTAGCTCGACTGAATTCATGTAAGTGGTGTTGGTTTATAAAACAAATTGAACCGAGCATCTTTCTTTGTAAGATCAGAGTTAAATTTAGAACCCCAAATATCTTCACAAATATTTAAAATGACAATTACTGCAAAAAATTAATAATCTTCTTTGAGTTCAATACAGTCGCTTCAGAAAGTATTCAGGCATGTTGCATGTTTTTTTTTGTTGTTGTTTTTTTCATGTCTTAATATAATCCCCCTTTTTTTTCTCCAAACAATCTGCACTCAGTTACTCTTAAAGACAAAACAGGAGCGCTTTGTTAGACGTTTTTTTGAAAATGTATTGCAACTGAAAAAACAAAAAGAAAACATTACAGCTTCAAGTGTTCTTGGGTAAGTCTCTGCAGGCTTTACACTCTTGGATATGGACAGTTTATCTATTTTTTCACACAGATACTCTCAGACTCTATCAGATTGGATAGGGCTTTGGTTGGACCATTTAAGGATAGTCACAGACTTGTCCTGAAGCCACTCCAACATTTTCTTGGTTGTATACTTTGGGCTATTGTCGTGCTGAAAGGTAAACTGTCATCCACATCTCAGGTTGCTGAACTCTTGAGCAGGTTTCCTTTAAGTAGCTTTTTGTATTTGACTGTATTCATCCTTTCCTCCATTCTGTACTCGGTGCTGAAAAGCACACCCATGATGCTGCCACCACCGTGCTTCACTGTAGGCATGAGCAATGTGCAGTGATGCAGTTCTGCCCCAGAATTCAGTTTTATGTCACAGGATCAGATAATCTTTTCCTCGTGCTCTCGAAGTCCTTCAAAAGCCATTTAACAAATCTCAAGTGGACTGTCATTTGCCATTTACTTAAGTGGCATCCTTCCCCCTACTTTACTGCAATTGCCAGATAGGATAAGTGCTGCTGAGATTGTTTTAATTTTGGCAGGTTCTGTAAGAAGAGTCTTGGTGGTTCGAAGCATAAAATCCTCCATTTCTCAGTTATTGAAGCTACTGTGCTGCTAGGAAAATTTTGAAAAAGTTTTGCAGCTCCCTTTCTAAACTCCGTCCAGTCCTTTCAGGTTGCCACCAATGGACTCCCATCACAGTCTAGACACAGTTTATGACAAACATTCAAAATTTGTACTTGCATGCAAAATTTTAAAAAAAATTGTACTTGAGTTACATTTGACCACTGTTGACAACCTTTTTCACAAAGGTCTTCACTGTGGTCACTCTGCTTTTGGATGACCACAAAGAAAAAAACGACTTGATGGAGGACGATTAGCAACATTCTTAGCAAACTAACATATATGCAATGTATGAACGGTTTAGCCCGGTTTAGCTTCACCCAAACCCAACTCCAAAACAATAAAATTAACATTTAATCCCCACTCACATTTCACTTTTAAACCAATCAAATCTAACCACAGTTTAGAGTGTCAGTACAGATGCACTCGTTTTGATTATTAGATATTTTCATTAAGAAAAATGTCTTTTTATACTTAAAACTTATCTTATGACACAATAACGAACGTGAAGGAGCCTGAATACTTTCTAAAGCATCTGTACGTAGTGACATTGGCTTTTTCTAAACTTTGAACTGACTGTCTTCCCTGTTTTCCAGTGAGACACTGATGGATGGAAGAGAGGTGTGTGTGACTGCATCCAGCATTTCAACTTACCTTCAAACTCTGTAAGTCAAGATTGTCCTGTGTTTGTACATATTACCAAGTGTACATTTGACTTTACAAAAACCAATGTTTGCAAAAGTCCGTTACACAATTAAGTGATATTAGGGCAGGTTGGTATGTGTGATATCATTCTACCAGTTCAGCTTTAAATTTAACTAAGAAATATTTTTGTAAGATGATTAATTCTTGAAAACTCAACTATTCTACTCCTCCTGCATATTTAAAACTCCTCATTTAGACTTTTAAGCCAAAAACACACGAAGGAGCAAAATAATAGTACTTTTTTTTAGAGCAAAATTAACAGTCACTGTATTTAAACAGGCCATGCTTGTTGGGGTTTCTCCCTTTCTTTTAGTGTCTCGCAGCTTTGTTGCACATTTAAAAGATCTGCGAATTTACAAAATCAAAAGTCCACGGCAAAGGGATTTATTCATTCTGCTCCTCACCTGCCTGAAACACCCTGTTTTAAGTCCAGGCATTTCCTCTGTTACTTATTTATGTCACCATGTAACACATTTGCATGACTCCTGCTTTCGGGGCCAGCTGACCAATCACAGCAGACTGGGCTTTTTGGAAGGGGGGCCTTAAAGAGACAGGGGCTAAAACATGGGAGAATAAAAGCTCCTTTTTTTTTTCTTTCTTTTTTTTTTTTTTAAACTCAACGTAGGTACACACATTCTAGAAGGTACCAAAGCTGAAACTACAAACCTGAAAATGTGCATAATATGGGCTCTTTAATAAAGGTGTCCAGACAAGAGGTTCCAGTTTGATTATCTGCCTTCATTGACATGCTTCCTCTGTGTTCAAATGTATCTCATCTCAGGTGAGATCAGTTTTAATAATGGGAGGTCAGCTCAGAATGGATTTGGAGATAGTGGAGGGTTTTAATGATTGGGATTTGCAGTCATGGGGTCAGTGTTACCAACCGAGCAGTGCTAGAATCACCCAGTAGGAAACAATCCTGCATCTATAACTTGTTTTAATCTGTATGCTGATGTACTTTGTTTAGGAAAGACCATGTGGGGCACACTATTCCTCAGCTGTCAGAGGGTATTTTGCATGCGAAATACTATAATAATCCTCAAAAAATGACAGCAAAATAGTGATAACTTTGGAGTTTTTGTGTTTGATGTGCAGAATGTGATTTATTAGAATGTATACAGACTGCCGTTGGTGAAGATGCTGTGCTTGCCTCAGCAGGAAATAAGGCCCTATCATGTTTCTTATCTTATGTTTCCTCTGGTGGAAGTTTTTTAAATGTAACGTCAGTAACCATTTCCTGTAGATTTACTTACTGATAACACTGCATAGCCCAAACTATACCTAGGTGTCTGGCTGAGGCAGGTAACTAATATACTGTACACCATCTTTACAGTCCACAGAAACAGTTCTTGGAACCTTTAGATCGTGGACAAGGGATGCCTATCAGTGTGCAAGGAGGAGAAAACTTCTTAAAAAAAGTCACTGAAACATTACACGGTGAGTCAGCTTTCTTGTAAGTTGACATACAGGAACAGCCTGCTTTCTATGTCATGCTGTGCTTCTTTAATGAAGGCTAAAGTGTGCTTTCTGCATGAGAGTCAGTATTTCATCAATTAAAGCTGCAGTAGGCAAACATTTGGAAAGCCCCTAACACCAGGAGAAGGCTCACTTTGAAGGCACAAACTGATAACAGATAACAGTCATTTGTGGCTTTATCTGAGATTCAAACTCGCTCTTCTGAGTAAAAAGCCTCCATCTGACTCATTGCACCACCTACTGTTGCCACTTGTCAACTGAAAACTCCTGTCATTAAAATCTTCTATCATGGGCTGAATTTTTTTTAAAGCCAAGAAGACATGCGGAAGTTGATTGTCCTTTAGAGTTAATGCAAAAATTTGTGCTGCCCAAAAAATTCTTTTACAGCTGAAAGAAGCAGAATGTGCCTCACACTTCTTCTGCCTCGGTCCTGTGGATAAGCTGCCAGTGACAGAATGTGGGACGTGAATGAGTGGTGGGAGCGGTGGTGCCTTGGTTTTTCTTGATGCTGACATTAAAGAATGACTTTTGCTCTTTCATTTTACCGTTTTACCAACCTGTGGCGTAATGCATGCCGCTTCAGTTTCACGTATTTCAGCAGTCATCACACGTGCTGCTACTGTGTGTGACTTTTAAACTTGTGCCGCTCTTGGTTTCGAGCTGTATCCGGATTCTTAGTGGTCTGTTGCTGCTATGATAATGGTTCTCCTCCACTGTCACATGTATCTGCTGACTTCTGGTATGTTGTTGCTCTGTTACGTGACTGATGTTCCACCAGCAGGCACAACATCTTGATGCATGCAGCAATCACAGATGTAATGGTTGTTATAAAGTACTAGCCTGAATAAAAGATGGCCCTGACTTTTTAAAATGCTGTTTTGGTGCAAAAATGATACAGCATGCATTTTAGCATTAACATAACGCTTGTCAAAGAGGCATAAACCAAGATTCCGACAGTAGCTATAACCTCTGGCCAAAGTCAAATCTCTTCAGTTAAAGTGAATGTATAGTATAGAGTGTATTTGGTGTTACGTTACTGATTAAAGGTTTTCCTTGCAGAACAACCATATGTGTGCCTGGGCTGCATATCCACTAAAAAGTGGACCAGCATTGAACAAAAGGATATACAATCCCTGGAATTTCCCGAACCCTCACCTGGCTGTCCCATCATCATCCGGTAAGTCGTTTATGTGTCGCACTATCAGGGGTGGATATCTTTTTTGAAATATTTTCAAATCTGCAATCAAGAGCTTCTATTAGAGGCAGTAAAGTCATATGGTGTTTTTTTTTTTCTTCACAGACTACGTCTGACAGATGAAACAGAATTCTGTGCCGACTCATCCAACTCGTGGTTCTGGGATCTGATGCATAAGCTGGATATGCAAACTCCGGAAAAAGCCTCAAATATGATTCTAGAGGGGGCTGAGATGTATGATCCTCCATCCAGTTAGGCTGTAATAGCTTTTAGTCGATAGAATTCTGCTTGCCTTTTGTTTTTTAATGTTTTGCTAACTAATCTATACATATTTGCTAAGAAAAGGTGTAAAATTCCCCAACTCCACTTTCTTTAATAAGAATTTGTAACTATTTTTTTTTAACTGTGATCCCATTTATTGGATGTTTAAAAAAAGAAACAAACACATTTATAGGGGGTCAGTTCTCTTCCAGGCAGTTGCAATTTAGTGTTTAGCCTGAAGTGTCTGTGAAGATTCTCAGTCATCCAGGTCATGGTTATTCTCGTAGATTAATCGTAGCAACTGGACTTGAAGACGTTTCCAGGGAGGACAGACGGTTTGAGAGAGGGGTGAAAGACCATCACTCAACAGAGGTGGAGGTCTGAGGCATCACCACTCACCTGTTTACAATTCAGTCCTAAGATCTCTCCCTAGGAAGCTGAAACCAGAGTCACACTTAGCCACAAAAGACCTGAACGGATCCCATCGTGGCAGGGGGGAGCACTAACGACTCACATAACGAGAGGGAGGAGCAACAAAGCCCCAACTGAAACCGAAACTCAGGCGTTAATGACTCCTTAAGGATGTAAGTATGTGGAACTCCCAACTACTTCGAACTGATGAAGCCTCTTGGATGAGAGGTGGAACGTCTTCAAGGAACTCAAGCAAGTCCAGTTGCTACGATTAATGTACGAGAATGTTTAGCCGTAAGTGAACATGACATTAGTAGATTTCTATTTGCACCCAGTGATCTGAAGTGTAGTCCACAAATAAATACCTGAGGGCAGACAGGCAACTTGGTAGAGTTATTATCTATACTATATATTTTGCCAGATGTTTGAAATCTTTTTGGGTAACTCCAAAGCAATGGGATAGCATGCCTTCTTCTAGGCCACATACATAGATAAATGTGGCTGACTATTATCTAAGCGATGTAACAGGGACGGAGTTATGCATGCAACACGATCCATTTGTTACTCTACTGTTAACAATTAGCTAAACTATTTTAATTATTGCCAACTGCAGGAAACATTCAAGCAACATAACATATTATTGACCCAGATTTTTTTTATTTGTTTAGTTTGTTGTAATCAATTTGAACATCATACATTTTACAGTAATGCCAGTATTATGTGACATGCACACCTTTTTAAATAGGTGATGTGTCAGATTAGAGAGACGTGTGGAACCCCGACCGTGATTTCTGATAAAGACTGTGGCTTTTAAAGTGTTACAGGAGTTGTCTTTGGGTCTTTGCATTATCTTTTATGAATCAATCTTTACTGAACTCAATATACGACAACATAAAGAAAAAAAAGGAGACTTTCTTGAAAGCTATCTTGATCGTGTAGCCTGACAAATGTTCAGGAAGATTTTTATGTCAGTAATCGAAACAATTGTTTTCGTTCATGCTGTGCAAAATACAATTTGGCCCAAGAAGATTGATCCGACATACTACATGGAATAAAAAGTACAAATTCTAAGGCCTGATGCTCATTTTCATTCCAGATGGACCTGCAGAATCTCTATGTTAATATAGTGACTTGACCACTCATTCATTAAGTTGACTCCAGCTTCTTCTTCCATCTGCCACCACTGAAGGCTGCCTCAGCTTGCTGAAGCTTCAGTTTCTCCAGGTGTTCCTCCAGCTGGTCCGAGGCGTCCACGGTGTCCTCGAGGTCCCGCAGCAGGATCCTGTTCCCCAGCAGCCCCCTGCGCTCCTTGAGCCTCAGGTTGCCCTCCTGCAGGCTGTTGCGTGCCTGCTTGGTCCTGGTCAGGAGCTCCCTCTTCCTGGCCACCGCGGCCTCCACCTCGGCCAGCTGCCCTCGCTTCGCCTCGACCTCCATCTTGCTCCAGTACAGCTTTTCCTTTATGTTTGACAGAAGCTGACACAGCAGGAAGAAAACACGTCAAGGCAAATATGACATAATCTGTACAAGTGGCCTCCTCCACTTACCTCCAAGTTGCTGCTGATCTTTCTCTGCAGCTTCAGCGACTCCTCACGTTGCTTCTCGGCGTGTTTTTTCTGCTTCAGCCTCGCGGCCTGCAGCTGCTCAAACTGGATCTGCAGGGGGTCCCTGCTGTGTCCCTCCATGTCACGGAGCTCTGCCTCCAGCCGGCGGATCTTGATCCTCAGCTTGATGTGCTTGAGGCGCAGCTTGACCAGCTCGTCCTGTCGAAGCTGCTCTGCTCTCAGGGACGACTCCACTTTGGCCTGAGCTGCTTTCTTACCCAGGTGTCGACTCAGGGCTGCCGCAACCGCCTCCTGCTTCAGTGCCATCAATGCTCGCCATTCTTTTTCCACCTGAAGATGAAGATTAGACAGTTTTGCCCAATGGTCAGTACAGTATACACCATATAATCAACATTACGTTGGCTGATGTGGGTGCTAAACTATTTTTTTTAAAGACAATCAGACCTGTCAGAGTTCGTGCAAAATGTTTTAGTTGTGATTTTGCTTTTCCCCCCCAGATTTTCAAGTTAAATTTGTCAAGTTTTCCTCCCTTGTTCACATAGCACTGAGAGCAGTGGCTGCATGGTTCAGTATGCATGTCACATCCATCCAGCTTCATGTGTAGATCCCTTGTACTCCTTCAGAGAGAATAAGAGATCGTTTAAAGCCCCTTAGAATGTGGCTCCAAATCTTAATACGGTACTTCTGCAGAGCATTATGTATTCTTTAACAAACAATCGAAATTAATGTTTAAAAAGACATTCTTGGCTGCTGCTTTAACTTTCAAACACTCGGCTAACGTGCTTCATCAGAATCAGAATCAGCTTTAATGGCCAAGTACGTACACAACATACAAGGAATTTGGCTTCGGCTGTTGGTGTCGCCCGAGGAATTTGCAGGAATAATAGAAACTGGAAAATTAAAAAATAAAATAAGATAAAGTAAAATAACTACAGAAAGAAAAGAATTAAAATGAAATGAAAATACAATTCATCTGGAACGTGTTTGTTCCATCAGATTTATTTAACAACACTTATATAACTGCAGAGATATGTAGTTTTAGTAAGTTAATCTCTTTTCATTTAAGAAATATGCAGACGTATCTGCACCACTGAGGTCTCGCATTATTCGACTGGTGTTATATACTTTGATGGACATGTAACTCCCCCAGTTTAAAAGCTAAAGACCTTTCTTCAACTACAACTCCCATGGTGCCACTGGGTTCCAAATGCAGATTCTATTTCATGAGCCATTAATGGCAGATGGGATCTGAAGATTAGACAGTTGAGAAAATACAATCTGCAGCTTAAATCAATTCATTTTCGGTTTTAGGTTGAACTGTGTGGAGCTGTGTTTTGTTCCCAACTGTACGAATGAAGCATTTTGGCAACAGCAGCCAAAGCTAATGGCTATTGTAGTGTTCAGAGCTGTCCACCATGCAAAAACAATGGACAGAATGTGATTTTTTATTTTTATTTTTTTTTAAATTAACGTAATCAAGAGTGGTGGCCATGATATAAACATAAGGGACTGTTATTCTATCTGGGAAAGTTTGGTGTTTCTGTGTTCCACCATGAAGAACATCAATTAGATGAAAAAAAAAAAAAAAAGCTGAAATGTGAATACAGAATTGAAAAACAACACTATTCCGTTCAATGTTTTGCAGGTGTGAGCACAGCTTCATTGTCTTCACACACTGCATTGTGAGACAAAATGAGGCCAAATAATTCATTCTGCATTTCAGTGTGATGTGAATATCATAATTTACCCAAATCCATGCAGACTATGTGAACTCCATGCACTGCACATATGTCAGGAAAACAAATAGTCCTTAAAACAAATGCTTGTTATGAGGCGTAGACTTTGTGAGGAGATTCTCCCTCGTCCACACCTTCATCCCGTTTTCTTAAAGGAGTTGCAACTGAAGTAGTCGCTGCCGGACTTTGTAGATGCGTAGATTTGATGGATGCACCCTAAACACAGTTGGAAAATCTAAATTCTCCAAATATCCTGTGCTATGAGGTGCAATCACACTGACATGCTACAGCCCAATCTGTATTTGAATGTACAATGTGCAAAGTTGTGCTGTTTTAAAGAGGTCGGACATAATTTCTGCTTCAATTAAATTTCTGTCTTTGTTCATTCTATAAATGAAACGACAGCAACTATACCATTTAATGTTCACGCTGCATTCAAGGAAGGCCTACCGGATACTGAGTGAAAATTAAACTTTCATGAAGTTTAATCATTACTGTTCTAAAGCAACTGTGAGTGTAGTATAAAACTGTAAATCAATATATAAAGCATTTTTTAAATAATGCAACCTGTAACCTGCACAGGTCTGTAAAATGACCTTGTCCAGCTTCTCCTGGGACTGTGTTCTGTTCTCCTCGGCCTGCTGCTGAGCTGATTCTGAGTCAGCTGTGAGCTGCTGCTGCAGGTCGGTCAGGATGTTGATGTACTTCTCATACTCCTGCAGCTGCTCTGTCGCAGGCTCTTGTCTCTCCAGCTGGGCGTTGTCTCCGGCCTTCTTGCGGAAGTACTCTGCCAGTTTCATCTGCAGCTTGCTGCTGCGCTGGCTGGCTTCATCTCTCTCCTTGCACAGCTCCTGGAGCATCTGCCTGTACTCTTCATACCTGATGTCTTCTCTGTCTGCAGCAGCAGTAATGTCCTCTTCTTCAGCCTCCTCTTCCTCCTCCTGCTCAACCCTGGTGGTCTCCTTTTCCGGGGTCTCAAGATGCAGCCTGGCAGGTCCATCGTCACTATCAAAAACAACACTTTCTTTATTGGTCAGTGGCTGTTCAGTGACTTTATTCATCCTCACATCCAAGTCTTCACATGAGGAGATGCTGCTGGCGGCACCAGGGAGCTCATTTCTACTGCTCTCTTCGGGCTCACTTGTGGCTGCTTCAGCGACAGAAGGCTCTTCTGTGACTTGTCTGCTCTTAGAGAGTTTGTCTTCATGATCTGATGTAACCATTTCAGAATCTTCTTTTTGATTTCTGTCAGAAGGAATGGAAGAATCATGCTCCTGTGACGTCTCCCTCTCAGTGTCATCCGTCACCTCATTTTCTTCATGTTCTGGCTGTTTGTCCATTTTTAATCAGAAAAAAAACAATCCCAAAAGCATTATTCAATTTTTTCTGTAGCTATAAGGCTCGTGCACTTCTGTAGTCAATGAAAGTATTCGTTTTGTTTCTGTTGTCCTGGTAACTCGGCTCAGGAGCCAATCAGCGGCGGGCTGACTTATTCTCATGAATATTAACAAGCAGGATGTGAGTAGCTCGCGCTGTTAGGCTCGCGGTGCGCAGGCGCGAAGTTCTGCCTCCAACAACAAGAAGCAGGAGCCAGGCAAGATGGCCGACCTGGGGAAGAAGTACTGCGTTAACTGCCTTGCAGATGTTACAAACCTGCGGCTTCGCTGCACCGACTGCCCCGATATCGAGCTTTGTCCGGAGTGCTTCTCGGCGGGCGCAGAAATCGGTAACCACCGGAGATGGCACGGCTACCAGCAGGTCGACGGCGGTCGGTTCTCTCTCTGGGGTCCCGAGGCAGAGGGAGGATGGACCAGCAGGGAAGAGCAGTCGCTACTCGATGCTATCGAGCAATATGGATTTGGAAACTGGGTACATCACTTTTTAAGTTACTTCATTTAATTTAACGCTATAACACTTCATTTACATGCACAAAAGTTTTGTTTCAAAGTGCTAAGACAGTGTAAAGAGTAAAAGTTGGTACGTAGCCGTAATGTTAAAGTAACGTTAGTGACCTTTGGGGGGAAAATGAAAAACGCATTTCTTCACTCTGTTGTAAAAGTTGGACGGCTGAGCAGTATTTAAGAGCGGAGTATCACTCTGCGACTGTCGACATCTAAAACAGGGGAACAGCTTCAAATTTTACTTTCGAATAGTTTTACATTTACGCTAAGAACTTGCCACATTAGCCAGAACAGTTTAGGAGTAAGTTACCGCAAAACTAGAAGCCGGAGTGTTGCAGAGACCAGTCAGTGGCTGATCAAACAGCACAGGGACTCCATGCTGCAGATCAAGAACACAGGTCTAGAAAATGTCATCAATTAAATGAACTAACTAGAGGCTCAGCTCAGCTAAAACCGGGATCGTGCTGTAAATATACCCAGTGATTCTACGTAGTCCCACCAGATATGCTGCACCGCCAGATATAGTGCTGTTGTACAACTCAGTGTACAAACCTTATAGATCAGTGTGGAGGGAAAACACATAACCAGAGGCATTACTGGGATCTTGAAACACTAATCCAGCAGTCTTTTATAGTATTAGATATTATGACTTGATAATTGCAGTATTTTGAAGGTATTTTAGAGTAAAATGAATATAAAACATGTTTACCCATGCTTAACCCATGTTTTACATTCGACCAGTGCTTCTTAAACTGTGTTAGTCTTATTTTAGCATAACTACATATACATTGAAAATACTTGTTTCTATAAGTTGCGTTAAATTTATATTTGGGCTCTTTCTCTATTCCGTGTGAAAAGGTGCAGTTGAGTGGAAAAAGTTAACCCATGAAGTCTCAAAACACAATAAAAACAAATAAAAACAAAGTGCTGCTGTCAAAAAACACTGAAAATTCTGTCCATAGCCTAATGATGACTTATCTAATGCCTTCAACTAAAGCAGTATCATGCTATGACATTGTGAAATTAAAAAATCTCCATAAAAACACACTTCATGTGACAGAAAAATCTTTTGACTTTGGTAAATAGGTCAGACTTTCATGAACGGTAAAAAAAAAAGATTTTTTTTTCTTTTTTCTCAACTATCTTATATTATTTTAGAAGAAGTTAGCACTTTATTGGATTAAAATATAAATAGATCTTGAACTGTTATTTTAATTATTTAAAAAAAAAAACTTAAGTCTAAAAACCAACTAAACAAAAATAAATTAGACTATTCATAGAACATTTAGGGCTAAAGCCTCGGATGCACTAGTGCCTGATGTGTAACACATGCCACGTTCTGTCGCATTGATCTAATGCAAGCTTTGTAAAAACAGGGTTCTGAATTTTCCCATCAGATCCTGTTGTAACTGGGTTATGGCAATAATTATTTAAATTGCTGGTGAAGATTTTTTTTTAATGATTATTTGCCAAATTATGCAATTTGGTCTACAGATTATTAGACTATATGATCATGGTATGCTTTACAGACATTTACTATTATTATTATTATTATTATTATTATTATTATAATTATTAATACTAATACTACTACCTTCTCTGAAATCTTAATCAGACATTATTCGGTAAAGCTGTATACATAAATAGTGCTAGTTACATAATGGATAGCTTATATTTCTCTTTCTTCTATTGTCCACATTAGTACCAATTTCCTGTTTGTGTTATTACAGGAGGACATGGCCGCTCACGTCGGAGCATCCCGGACTCCTCAGGAAGTCATGGAGCATTATGTCACCATGTACATCCACGGAAACTTGGGTAAGGCCTGCATCCCTGACAGTATTCCAAACCGGGTTACGGACCACACCTGTCCAAGTGGCGGCCCGCTGTCGCCCAGCCTCACCACGCCACTCCCCCCACTGGATATCAGTCTAGCTGAGCAGCAGCAGCTGGGCTACATGCCGCTACGTGACGACTATGAGATCGAGTACGACCAGGATGCCGAGAAGCTCATCAGCGGGCTGTCGGTCAACTACGACGACGAGGATGTAGAAATCGAGATGAAACGTGCCCACGTCGACATGTACGTGCGCAAGCTCAGAGAACGCCAGCGACGTAAGAACATCGCTCGAGACTACAGCCTGGTGCCTGCATTCCTGGGCCGAGACAAGAAAGACAAGGAGAAGGAGAAGCCAGGGACGTTGGGAGTCGTGGGCACTGCTGGTGGTGTGGTTGGACCAGGAGCTGGCGGTGGAGCAATCGGATCAGGTTCCACGGCAGCAGTAGGATCAGGTCCTGTTCCGAGTACACCCAAAAGAAAGATCACTAAGGAGGAGAAGGAGCAGCGGGTGAGGCTGCGGGGGCTCTGCCAGTTCATGGCTCACCGGGAGTTTGAAGACTTCTTTGAAAACATGCATAAAGAGCGTATATTGAGGGCCAAGGTGCGTGAGCTGCAGCGCTACCGCCGCAACGGCATCACGCGTCTGGAGGAGTCTGCCGAATACGAAGCCGCGCGCCACAAACGGGAGAAACGCAAGGAGAACAAAAGTGTGGTCACCTCCAAACGAGGCAGCTCGGGAGGGGGCGGGCTTGGTTCTGGGATGGGACTCGGGGTTGGAGCAGGAGGGGCAGGAGGCGTCGCCGGAGGGTTGGGAGTTGGAGGTGGGATCAAAGAAGAGGGCAAAGATGGTGAGTTTGCCGCCATCGAGAATCTGACGGGCTTTGAGCTGCTGTCAGACAGGGAGAAGGTGTTGTGTAACTCTCTCAACCTCAGCCCGGCGCGCTACCTGACTGTCAAAACCATCATCATCAAAGATCACCTGCAGAAAAGGCAGGGCATCCCGGCCAAGAGCCGACTGCCCAGCTACCTGGACAAGGTTCTCAAAAAGCGCATTCTCACCTTCCTCACAGAGAGCGGTTGGATATCCCGAGACGCCTCTTAGCGGTCTGATTTTGGTCAGGTGGTAATAAGCTGATGATTGCTGGTAGCTGATAAGCTGTACGTTTTAGAGGCTGGACAGAACTACCAGCTTTCACCGTTTCTTGTCAGGGGTGACCATGTGAATATGTATCTTGTAAAGAAAGAGGATGCCCCGCCGAAGAAAAAAAAAAATCTTATTTTCATACCAGGGGAATGGGACAGGGTGGAATACAGCTCCGTGGCTTCAGCATGAGTTCTGTCCATAATGTGTCTACATGACGATAACAAGAATGAGAGTTGTTCTAGTGCTATAGCAAGAAGTTCTCTCAAGACATATATATGTAGAAACAATACGATAAATTCAACCAGCGGCAGGGCAAAGGCCATTTCATGCTGAAAGGAAGGACATAAAAGAACATTTCTTGAACATGTAGTGTTCTTGGTAATTCTTTAGGTGAATGTTAACTAGTGGGTGACAGAAATGATCAAAAGCTGTGTTTTTAGAGTCTCTTAAACTTTGTTTGGGGTTTCATTAATCAAACCTGCAGTGGGTAACTTTCCAGCACAAGGTAGCTGTTTGAATTGATGACGGCTGCCAGGGGGAGATGATACTGCAAAAGCAACACCCATCGTCAGGCTTAAAATAGGTTGACACAGAGCTAAACCGATCAATCACCTAGGCTGATATTTTAGCTCATCGCTGATCAGCATTCGCACACAGGTTGACCACAGAAATGCCAAAGAACATGCTAACAGATAAGGACACAGTCAGTCTTCCAGAGGATGCTGCCAGGTTTATTTTTGATGGGGGAAAACTGTCCCAGTCAGTACACCTCTTGGTTAAATAACCAAATTTAAAGGGTCCTGATTAAAAATGTGACATGTTTATCTTTAAAACTAAAAATATCGGCTGATAGCTTGTATTTAATTGAAGCCCCTGAAACCCTAGCGTCAATTATTTAAAGTACTTTTCAATGGTACTAAATGGTCGATGTGCTTTTTAGGATGACGTAGGAGCTGTTTGATCAGATTTCATTGGCAGTAGCTGTTTTCCCACAATGTTCTTTAAGCGCATTTTGAAGTATTGTATTTGAAAAAATGTGTTGGAGACGACAAAATAAAGGGGAAAAATGCAGGAAAAAGTTTTTGCACTCGCTTAAGGTAAATACCACCTTATTATCATAACTCATTATGTACATTAGAGTAAGTTCATGTACATATTGAGAGATAGAAACAACTCTTTGGTGAAAGTTCTGACGTGGCAAACGTTTTACTCACGTGATTGATCGGCTGCTTCTTTTGTTGTCTTAGACTCTAGACGGGATGAAACATGTCCGGTACCAGCTGACATGAAAGAATAATTCTCCAATTTTTTCTCCAGGTTCTCTGTCATAGATCGCCAAAGTTTTGTTTGTTTCCTCTTTGAAGGTTTACAGACGCTGGCAAACAGCTGGTTGTGTTCTAGTCTCTTTCTTACGGCCATGAGTCATGTGGCTCGTACTACCACTTTCTGACACTATGCAACATAGTTGAATCGCTCCAAAGCTGGTAAACGAAACAAGCCTAGTTCTCTCTGTTTTTTTGTTTTTTTTCCTCTGAAATGTCAAAAGTTGGCTTTACATTTGGCAAACATATAGAAGCCCTAATCAGCTTTTGGGGGTGTTTAGCTCCTGTCAACCCCGGCTAGAAGTAGGGAGAACTCAGATTTTTATTTTTTTTCCTGAGCAGTGTGACACAGCTGTATTGCCATAATTTAAATATATATATATAAATAAAAATAAAAATTGATTATTTATTTTACAAAAACTGCAAACAACCTGGAATCAAAATGTACAACATTTTCCCCAAGTGCCCACAAGGGTTAAAAATACAAGAAGAAAGTGGATCTGCATGCTGTAGATAGGTCATTAAGCGCATTCTGAATTAGTTTCCGCAGCCTGCAGATCAGTCCACTTCACCTGAATAGTCTCTGAGTTTGTGTCACATGACTTTTGATTGGGTCAATTAGGCCTTCCCGTCGCACATATAAATCCAGACTTCTTTGCTTTTTTTCGTACAGAATCTGGGCGAGCAAACGCGAGTGTATTTTTGGCAAATGTTTAAATCGACATGTAGAATAAAGTGATTTTGATGAACTATCACAGTTTGAAGCCGCGATTCGATTGATTTTTCCCGAACAACCAGCACGTTGAGTAGTTTAAGAACTGCCTGAAAGTTGATAAGATTTTTTTTTGTACTCTTTCTGGCTCTAATGAATGGTGTAATTTTGGCGTTTTCGTATTTTTTTTTTGTAAACTTTCTAACTTGTTACATGAAATCAACGTGAAGAAAAAGCTCCACTTTGCAAATGTAGCACCCAAAACCTTTGACATCTAGTGCAGCTTAGTACAGCTGCCCTCATGCTACAACACAGGTAAAGCAGATTGCATAAAGTCATTAACCATTTATATTTAAGTCCAATTCCAAATTTGATGTTTTTACTGAATGAGCAACAGAGCTAATATTACACCTCAATGTTCATCCTTATTTAAGTTTCCTGACATCCTCCTTATGGCTGACCACTTCACACAGCTTCCCAAATGGTTAGTCAAGCCAGACGGTACCTGCCCCCGCCTTGGCAGCCTATCGTCACTTGTCTTCACTTTGTTTCGAAGGCAGAGCCATAGCACCGGTGACTCACACTCCCTCTTTGCGTAACGTGCCAACGTGCTATTTAAATGCAAATTAGATTATTGAATCGGCTATCACTTCCGAGCAGGAGTGCTGAAATACAAGAGGAAAGGCACGAGACTGTGTGGATGTTACCTATGCTAGATTCATGTTCTCGTCTTCTTTTATTTTGTCTGCAGCTAATTGAAAATAGGCTTGGGTTGAAATGTGAGCGGCATTAGTTCTAGTAGGCGGGCTTAATGAGGCGTGCTTTGCCCCTTTTTTTCTTTTTGGTGTTTTTTTTTTTTATTGTAGCATCCAAGAAGTTTTTGCATTAAGATTGTGAATCATCTGTGAAGGGTGTTCATGTCTCTTTGTAATTTAAAAAACAATCATTCTTTTGCATATTTCATTTCATGCGGAGCTCCAAACCATGTATACTGAAACATCCCAGCTGGTTTGAAGGGATAGTCGGCAAAATCCCATGAAAAGACTCACACTAGCAATCGCTGAAACCTACAAAAACAAGTTCACACTGGGCGACACACACTCTAGTCTGTTTTGGCCGTATATGACAGGCAGCAACCTGCAACTGTAAACAATCACTAGAGCACTAGATTCATCCGCAGCAGAAAGTAGTCCCTAATACATATACCTGTATATATACTTGTTCATGAACGTCTTCCACAGAAATCAGTGGGTTTGGAAGTGTGTGAGATGTGAGTATCGAGGGATTAACAGATGTTTTCTTTTCATGGGATTAGTCGACAATGAGAAAGATTTTCATGAAAGGTTTCCAGCCTTCTTCTGAGGGGATGAACACCCCTTTATCCAAATGCTTTTCCTACACGTCTTTGTGGTACATGATTAAAACAGCCACCAATCTACAACTTCTTATGATCTTTCCAACATTATCGGTGGGTCCAGTCCAGCTCGTAGACTAGTTTTTCAGACCTTTGCAGCCCACTGCTAGTGGATTTGGACATCTTTGTTAACCGTCGTGGGTTTATTGAAGGTGCTAATTGAGCAGAGGTGTATTGGTTCTGTAAGATATTAAGCTTTTTTTTTTCCCAAGTTAGTAAAATTCCATTTGACCCAGAATGTTCTATTAAGGTGATGCTAATTTCCAGCCGATGACCTGTCAGTTAAAGCTATTTGACGTTGTTGCTTTGTCTAATTCTCACCATTCAAAGACAGATTTATTTTTAATTTTGTTTTGACCACGGCATTGTTCTGCACGTGCGACGGAATGTTGGTGTGTTGAAGTGTCTCAAAAGAAAAACGCGTTCCATTCGGGTGAATATTTTTTTGTAAGGGGGATTTTGCTTACTTTATGTCACCAAATGTAAATAATTTTGTAAGATAAAAATTGGGGCGGGAGGAAATATAATTACTGACCTGTGAAATGTACAGTATTTTGTGTCATGGAAATTTTTTATAGCTTTTGTAATAAAAAAACAAACAAAAAAAAGTTTTTGGATTAAAAGAAGCAGCATATTGTGCGGCTTTGGTTCTCGTGATGGCATGCTGTTGAGCTGTCTTTTATCTCGTTGCCCGTCTGATACCGTTTGTGCTGTTCCATCACTTTGTTGTTTCACATGACGAGGTATGTATGGAGATGTATTAAAAAAAAAGCGTGCAACTACTTTATCATTTCTAAATAGTCCTGTTTGTGTAATCCTGTCACAACACAAAATGTCAGATATTTGTCACGAGGAGGAGGTTGGTCTGAGCGGCGACACAAGAGCAGCATGTTAATGAGGTTACAATGATTCCTTTCACCGCCATCAGGAAAGAGCAAAAAAATGGAACAGACTTCATTTGCAATATAAAAAGTCGTTAATGTGAAAATGACAAAAATGAGAATCAGCAATGAAAAGTGACTTTACAGAAGTACTTCCATTTCAGGCTTCTATTTGGCTGATACAACATGTGATTGTACTTAAAGTAAGATTGTAAATGCAGGACCGTTGTAATCATCTAAAGTGTTTGTACGCAATTGTAGTGCGACTTTCACTGAAAAGGATCAGAGTACTTCTTCCGCCGCCATTTTTAATTTGAAGGGAAGAAAACACAAATAGACATCACCTTCCCAGAACAATACAGAAGTAGCATTTAAAGGATTGTGTTAAAGTCACTTTTTAAAAAATTGCAAACATGCTTCATGACAAAGATCCAAGCCATCAGTGTTTTAGTGCATCTCAATACTTTTGAGATTTTTTGCTCCTGAAGGCGTACATCTCTCGAAATTGCTCTCAAACTTTTTCATATTTTAAAATTGTTTATTAATTAGCTGGGTACCTTATGTTTTAGCAAAATATATTGATAGCAGGGGTGCAGGGTGGCGCAGTTGGTAGCACTGTTGCCTTGCAGCAAGAAGGTTACCGGTTCGCATCCCGGTTAGGACACCCGGAATCTTTCTGCTTGCATGTTCTCCCCGTGCAGTGTGGGTTCTCTTCAGGTTCTCCCACACAGTCCAAAAACATGCTGAGGTTAATTGGTGATTCTAAATTGTCCATAGGTGTGAATGTGAGTGTGCTTGGTTGTCTGTCTCCAAGTGTGGCCCTGTGACAGACTGGTGACCTGTCCAGGGTGTCCCCTGCTTTCGCCCTAAGTCGGCTAGTGAGGATTAAGCGGTGTATAGATAATGGATGGATATTAATATCAGGAAATAGTGCATTTGTCAGGACTATTTTCAGCTGCGGATTAATACATGTTTAGTGCTTAATACTACAGCCATCTCACACAGGCGTAAGACAAAGATTAAAAAAAAAACATTTAATGGTAGCTCCTTCAAGGAATAGATATTGGGGATTACAAGGACAATATTAGGGGAGTTGGTCTGTACCGTTATCATGCTTGTGTTTTGAAACTACACTTCCCACAATGCTTCGGTGGATGCTTAATGTCATAATTGCTTCTGATAGTTGCGCTAAAATCTATGCATCAGGTATTTGTGTTTATGCACGTAGGCACCAAATTGCCTCCCTGAGCCGATTTCCTAACATCAGCATTCATCTGGGTCAAAGTCAAATACTAAACCAATAACGATTTCAAAGTTGATCAGTTTATTCTGATGCAGTGACAGTTTGGACAAAGGTCCACACATATAATTCTTCTACTGGTTTACAAGTAAAGTTACATTACTGTCCGCCACCACTGAGCTAAACTGTGGCAGAGAGGTGTTTAAGCGACTGAAGCTGGCTTATCGAACAAGACAAAGATGTTTTCATCGTTAAAGCCTTGGGAAGTCAACGCCAGCACAAAGTAAAACCTCGACTTTTCCATCATATCCGACTGTACTGTTCATTACTTTATTCACAGACTGAATTTCAAACTCACAGAACAAAAAAACAACTGAGAAGTTCAACATTATTATAATTAGGCTTTAAACAAAAGTCCGGAATGACAGCAGCTCAGTATCAGCACTACTCACTTTGTGAATATGTTTTGACACCATATCTCACCCCTTGAAAAGAAGGGTTTATGATCTTATCCTATCTGTCTCACTTGCTTTTTTTCCTTCTCGAGATTTATGGTTCTGAGAGGAAACATGAAAGCTGTGATCTGCTGATTTTATTAAATAATCTCTGACAATAACAGAAATGACTCATGGCTGATGACAAACTGAAATTTTACTGGAAGGACTGCCCTGTGCCAGACAAAGTGTAGCTGTTAAAAACTGTTGGATGTTGTCCATGTAGAAAGTTCCGTTGGGTTCTTGTCTTTTTGAGGCACCATAGAGTGGGTGGGGCGGTGGTGTGAGGACAGGCTTGGGGGGAAAAGGGTGGAAGGGCCTTGACCAGTCTGCTGAGCCTGAGGTCATCCATCTCTCAGGCAACCACGCTAATCCCACTTTGTCACGCAGTTACACCATGAGTCCTAGGGGGCCTTGGCCACGCCCACCAATGCCGGCCTGAGGGTGCGACCGTGGATCTTGTAGCCCACTTTGGTTACTACGGCGACAGTGCCGGGCTCCTTGCCTTCCACAGGGGCGTGAAAGAGGGCCTCGTGCTCGTAGGGGTCAAACTTCAGGCCGTCGGGGTTGAGCTTGACCAGGCCGTGCTTGGTGAACACCTTCTGGATCTGGACTTCGGTCATCACCAGGCCGTCGTACAGGTTCTTCAGGTGGGGGTTCTGGCTCGTCACCTCCTCCTTGGGCACGCTCTCTGTGGCCTTTTCCAAGATGTCGGCAACCTCCAGCAGGTCCTTACAGAAGCCCTGGATTCCTGATGTGGGAAAGATGTTGAATCATTATTCGGTATGCTTAAATCAGAAATGTTCTGCATTCACACCCCACATGACACCAACAGAAAGAACATGTAACTAGAACTGTCTTTCAAGCAAACCTGTCTACATTTATGAAACTTTTGCTTTGTAGACATCATCAGTGGTCGGCCTGACTGACAGCAAGTGGAATGGAACCAAAAGTAGGAAACAACATGTCTCCAACTGAGGTATGTTTTCTTTAGGTTGTGTTTTATTTCTGTAAATATCTGTGACACCTTAAAATATGGCATATAGTGAAAAAAAATCATCATGTCAGTGTCAATATCCATCCATCCATCCATTATCTATACACCACTTAATCCTCACTGGGGTTGCAGGGGGGCTGGAGCCTATCCCAGCTGACTTAGGGCGAAAGTGACAGTATCGAGTTTGCTAACATTAGCCACAAAAAGCTAGTAGTCATACCAGACCAAACAAGTTTACTAAACTGAAAATGGGTGCGTTTTGTTGCTTCTGATTGCAAGATAGCATCATTTCTTTTTCAAAATGTTACCTAGTGTCATTTTAGGCAGGTCATAAGCAGGTTTAGTACCTTCTAATGGAAGAAAGACGCACCTGTACCTATTCAGCGATAAGCCAAGTGAGAGATATGCGGCAGAAATGCATTTAGCGAATGTTTTTCTGGAGTCTCTGAGAAGACATCTGATATTATACAGTACATTTTAAAAGCCCTAATTGTTATACTTTAAAACTCACGGTTAATAAAAGGGTGGAAAGGTCATGTATCCATAATTGAAGTAGAACAGTGTTAAACTGTTCAGAAAAAAAGGAGCACACTGTAGTATTTAAACAGTGCACATAGTAAGTGTATTTAAAGGCATGAAACCAACTGCATGACCATTTTAGAAAGTTGCCCTTGAGTGACATCTAGTGGTGTGTCTATGCAACTGCAGAATGTTTTATTCCCTTCTGCAGGGCCTTGCTAGCTGGTGTAACCTGTGAACAAATTGAAAAGCAGCAAATGGAAGAGGTCTTTACCGTATAGTTTGGCATCGTCTATCATCTTCTGACTCCTCGTCCTGAGGTTCTCTGTGTCTGCCAAGGCCCTCTTGTACTTTTCCTGGAAACACGGTGGAAACAGCAAGACATGGCTTAAAAACTCTACATGCTGTTCTTTATCTAATGAAGTAATTACTTCTCTTGTCTTTCAATGCTTTAATGAATATGGTATTAACCTCTAATTAAGGCTATTGTTAGCTTGGCTTAAACATACTCATCGGCATACAGAGATGGAGATCAAACCACATTGGGGAACCCTATAATCACACTGCAATCTCATCTTACAGCATCTGTTTTGCCTATTAAATAATTGAGGATCTATTAACTGGCACTGCAGCTAACCAGTGTATTTTTATTACTGATTAACCTCTCAATTCGTTTTACAATGAATAGATTTATTCCTCAGTCTATATGAAGTCTGCCAAAGCCTAAAGGGACATCTTTAAATTGATTCTTGTGCCTGACTGACAGTAACCAGAGGAAAATCCTGCTATTTGAGAAGCAACAACCACAGTGTTTGGATTCTTTAGAGATGATTTTACAAGTTCCAATTTTATTATTTACAGTTTGTCTATCAACAAATGAGTAGACAGTAGAACAGTAACAGCTGCAGCGGTTATTTCACAAATGCAAAGGTGCTGAAAAAAAAAACTATAAGTTTTCAATCCGTACTGTATAGTCAACATCAGAATAGTGCAGTTGGATGACTGCTGGTCTGCAGTCAGCTCAGACTTACTGTCATGTCCTTAAGCTGCTCCTCCAGCTGGGTCTTCTCCTCCATCAGGACTTTCTCTGCTGCATTCTGTTCTGGCTTCTCAGCCTCCTCCTCTGACCCGTGACCATTCTTCTGCTGGGTGGCCGTGCATAATAATCGTGGCGAGGCTCTAGGGGAGGGGGGAAGGATATACAGAATAAGTCAAATTCTGCACAAGTTAAAATTCTGTTACACTGAATTAAACTTTTCTCACGACAGTTCTAGGAGATAATGCTGCCAAACACAAATTGACTCAACTCGTATTTACTGTATACAGGGTGATGCATCTGTGTAGATTTCAGGTGGATATGTTGAGCATGTGCACTTTAAACCCACTACATAACATCCTTGCAGCTTTTACGATTTGCACTGTTTCAACCTGCGAATTGCAATCAATTATTTGCTCAGCCCTACAAACTATTACATTAATATTTACCAGGATGGAGGAAATTAACTGTTTTCTGCTTACAAATCCTGCTTAATGAAATCTAACCAGTGGGTTGGTGACAAAAACCTGAATACATGAGTGGGAATGCTACGATATAATACACACAGAAAAAAACGTGGCTTTCACAGTGACCACATCTCAACCCACCACCCTCTGGGACATTTTGGATGAGGATTGTGAACCCGGCTCTATGTAGTCTGTATAATATTTTACGTCTTCTCAAGCATTTTGACTCTTTATATAGACCTGCTAAATGATGGTATCAGACAGCTTAATTAATAGCACTGCCAAGTAGCTCTTCGTAAGAATGTTATGCAACTACCCTACATGTCATCCACTGTTACTTACATGTATAAGGCCTTTTCAGCTACTGTTGCCATCAGTTACGAGTCTTGAGGTCTAGATTAAATCCTGTTTCAATATTGGAACTTTAATTTAAAAAAATAAGTCTCATCTTTTTTTGCTTGCTTCTGGTTCTTTTTGTAGCTGATCCAGTCTTGGTCTCTTTCATGCCGTATGGTATTGATCGATTACTTGATTGTCCTCTAATTTCTTTTGTATTCTTGTCGTTCTACATCTTTTTTGATCCAGCCAATGTGCTTCCGCTATCACGTTCACAAAGTCGTCTTCACTCAAGTTTACTTGTCACTTTCTTTTTGCATTGATTGTTACATGTAATTAACTTTGTGTTATCTCCCCACCACAGTCTGTGCTTTCTCCTTCTCTGAACCTGTCTGCAGGAAGTTTGGGTTCTGAAGCTGCATGATCTGATCTGTGGTTACTGATGCCACAATCTGTCCACTGTTTATGTTCTCTTGTTTGTCTCTGCTTTCCATGCTTTTCACCGTTCTACCCGCACCCCAACCGGTCAAGGCAGATGGCCTCCATCCTTGAACCTAGTTCTGCTGGAGATCTCCTCCCATTAAAAGGTATTACTTCCTCTCTTTGGGAGTCTTTGGATTCCTGGGGTCTTCCATGTATGATTTTATAGGGTCTAAACCTCAGCTTTTTAAATGGTAAAACAATTTGTATTATTTATTATTATTCATCAAACTGTTTTAAACTTAATTTTTACATTGCTTTGGTAAAATTACATAAAAATAATACTATAGCAGCTCAACTTGTTCAGTAAATTTCTAACATTATTGATAACACTATGACATTTCTCCATTGGGCAGTACTTTGGTTCAATGACTGTTGTTTTAAATATGCTATATAAAAAAAACTTAACTTGACTTAACAGGTGTAGTTTTGTTTTGAGTCATTTGAAGTGATACAACAGCCTATTTCACCATATGTCATCATCTGTCTCCAGCCAATAGAGTAGCGTGACGACACGACGCCAAACTCCATTCACAAATTCCTTATTTAAACCCCTATAGAGCTGTAATAGTCAAAGAAGAGTACGCGTTTACTCGAGATTAGGTTAAATTAGCTGAATAATGAATGGAGTTTGGTTGGGCATTTTCTGCGTATAGATGAAGCCTCGTGAAGGAAATTAAATACCATCTCAGCCTTTTCTGTTTGTTTTTTAGCTAATTAAAGTATCCAACAGCAGACACGCGCAACGTTTTAATACTTTGACATCATTATAACAGGTGTAACAGACAGCTTGAACGTTAGCTTAGCATAAACTACATCCTTCTGCTCACACATGACATGTTATGTCACACTGTTTCTAGCTAGCAATGACATGCCAGCCATGTCACATATTAAGACAGTGCTTAGGCTCATGTTTGAGTCAGTCAGTCTCCAGCCCAGCAAATTACACATCTCTGTTGTCAGTTTCTGTGTATATATTTTTGTTTCCAGAAAGGTCACCAGTGAAGATCGGCTACGAAAGCTACCGTTGCTAACCGGCTACAACCATGAGAAGACAGGAGCTAACCACCCGGTCGGTTCTGTAACAGGCATAATTCAGCTGAAAACGTGATTAAAAAATGCTAATTACCTTAAAAGCGCAGGTGAAGCTACAAGAGAGTAGCTCTGCTTCACTGCTCGTACACACCAGCTCGCCATTTTCCTAACAATCCACTGTGCAGGTAAGAAGCTCCTTGTATCGCACGCTGACGGGACGCACAACCGTGATGACAGCAACGGGAGGTTCAAGCCAATCACAGATGAGTACGCAGAACGCCTCTCCCAGTCGACCAATCACATTCATTAAAGCGCTTGACGACTATAAGTAGTTTGGTTGAGGCTAAGTTAAAGGTGACAGCTCCACATGTGACCAAGGACAGCTTTTTAAAAATCCTTATCAAACTGAAGGTTACACATCCCATGGTTACTCAACTCAAACATTTTTCCTGTGAACATTCAGTGCTTTATCTCAGGGTTAATGTCAACGTCAAAATAAGACAGACTTGCATTTAAACTGTTGTAGTTTCCCTGGTGTCAGAGCTTAAAAGCTGCTACACCTACAGTTTGGTGTGGGGCCTCTCGCCAACTGACAAATGTAAGTGTAATATTTACTCTCTTGTACATCTGTCAACAACTCAAACTCTTTTTTGTCTGTTGTGTGAGGCTGATTTGGCAATGTGTTTCCAACTGCCCAGTCATGTTTTTGTGCATTTTGAAATGTAGTATCAGAAAAAGGAAATGGAAATGGAAACATTAGAAGAAAAAAAAAGTTTTTTGGTTTTTGACTTTTTCAGAAAAATAGTTACAGCACCTTGTTTGAAATAAGTTTTGATGTACCAAACATTTGCTCACATAACCAATCACTCTTTTCTGCTTATTCTGCTGTCTTTGCCTTCGGACACCATGAAACATATCCTATACCAGATGACATGAAAGAACAATCACAACTGTCTTGATTGGCAATAATCCTTGAGAATATCAGTCCATTTTTCTGTTTGTTTCTTCTTCCTCCTCTTCTTCTTCAAAGGTTTTTTAACGATTCCCAAAAAATTATAAAAGCATATTCAAATGAAGTGTGTCAAAAACACCAGAACGTCTAACTACATCATGTCTGATTTTGCAGTATTCAAGCCAGCATGCTTTTCTGGCAATTCTTACCCAGAATTCTCTGCACAGTAGAAGATGTGTCACATATGTCAAAGTGCCTTGCGAGTAACAAGCGAGGGCCGCCAAGAGTGCACAGCCAGTTGATTTCACATTGCAGACTGAAACGGATATATGAGCAAGATGGTCAAAGTTTAGAGGCAATAATATACTGAAGTAGAATCTCCTATTTGTATGATACTGCATGTAGGTGTATATGTGCAGCTGCAGAATATACTGAAAGTAAAAAGAAAAAAAATATGCCATTTGGAACTGGGTGGTTTTGTCACTGCGCAGCTTAATTTATTTGCTCATAATTAATGAAATAATTAATGAAATCATGCTTAATTTCTATCATCTTTCCACAGTTTTTTTTTTGCAACATTTCAAACCGTTGCTTCAAATTCTCTCATTTTCTACCTTGACATTATCATACGGACTTGCAGTATTTTCCACAGGTGAATGAAGATGACGTGACGACACTCTGTGCCTTCATTTGGAATGTGTGCAAGAGCAAAGCATCATTTCTGGTGCTCAGGTGAAGGTAAGCAACAGTGCACAGAAAGATTTAAAAAAACAAACAAACAAACATGCGAGGATATTGACCTCTCACAATAAACAGACACTTTGTTTGGAAAAGATCTTTACACAATTTATGCGGAAGTGCGTCATAAGTAGTGGTCTGACAGTACTGACTGTTGCGATTCACAGTCATCAAGGTCGTGGTATTCCTTAGTTCTTTTCTAGAAGTGCACTCTGGATAAGGAAGAGTTCAGGAAGTCGTGTATGTTAAACTGGAACAACGGTGCTCCACACCACACATCAAGCACTTATACAGTCTTGAGATCCCTCCCCACCCATGATCCATGCGATTTGGGCTACGATATAGACCTGGGACTCCCTATGAGTCCACTAGAACTGGGGAATCTTCTTGGATGAGACGTGAAATGTCTTCAAGAAGCAAAAAGAGAAGTCCAGTTGCCTTCTGCTGAAGAACTTAGGAAAAGTACTGAGCTTTACAGATGTGAGGCAAACTATCAATCAGTAGGAGGATTATTTTTGGATAGATTTTTTTTTAGTTGTAAAATGTAGGGAACACATCCACTGTTTTTAGCTGCTGTTATACTACAATTTCAAAAAGGCTGCTTTATTATATATGCTGTCATTGAGATGAAAGGAAAGCTTGAACTCTCCTCAGTGCATTAAATGAAAATCACAAACTAAAAATCACATGTTCACAAATCATGGAGGTAAATGGATGATCATCATCCCAATATACATCCCCTAAAAGGCAAAACTAACAGGAATATTGTGTAAAATGCTTTAAGAGTGTGTATAGCTGCAAACTCATCCCTTTTGTATGGCAGTGAGTTGCTGCTACCATGGCAACCATACATTTCCCTCAGCTTCTCGTCATAACTTTCCACTTTTTTTTCCTCTCTTTTTTCAAGATGACTTTCAAGCACGCTAGCTTGTCCAAAATCAACCGAACTTTTTTAGCTTCGCTCCGCCCGATTAGGAGCAGGGCCTAATCGCGTTCATCCTCCATCTATGGGATGTGTGTGATTGACTTCCTGAAGGCAGTTTAGGCAACATCCAAACGCCCACGTCTGCTGGTTCCTAATGTGGAGCAAGTTAATTCTCCAAAAATGCAGCAGTTTCATCAGCTGCTGCATCCTCTGTCAGTACCCATGTGTGCTGCCTCTTCAAGTGATGGGCTGCAACTTTCTTCTGTTTCCCCCCCCATCAATAAAACACCCAACAACAGTGAAAAATATCATTTATAATTTACCAGAACCCAAGGTGATGAAGATCTGTTGGATCTGTTGGCTGTTTTTGTAGCAGTCACATTAGATTATGGGTTAAAAAAAGAAAAGACGAACTTCACCTGGGAGCTGAAATGCGCAGATCTGGATCCATTATGTGAGTTTGCGACAGTAAAATTGCCTGTATCTTCCACACGGGCTCTTTGAATGACATTTTCACTTACAGGCTGTTCATTCAAAGACGTGTTGTCACTCTGTCTGCTTCCAGTCAGCTAATCAGCTTCATTGTAGATGAAATGAAACCTTGCATCATCTTTCTCTCTCCCTCTTCACAAACACACACTCTCCAATCTCCTTTTCATTTCCTGTCTCTCTCTTTCCTCCCTTTCTTTCAGTGCACATCTGACAAGGCGGAGCTAATTGATAGGCACGCCATTTCTCTCAGCTGCCTCCTCAGCCACCGTGACTCCACCTGTTCACCGTTTTCCTCCGCTGCCTCAATGGTGAGGGAGGGGAGGAGGGAAAAAAAAGAAAAAAAAAAGGGAAAGAGGCAAATTACTCCTTCATTTTGCAGTAAGCGGAGCAGACAGGTTGGCACTTCCTCATTAGGGGGAGGTTTGTTTCATGAGGTGGTGCACGGATCCCTCTTGTTTCTGCTTTGATGAGGCCACGCAGAGTCCGACTTTGATGTCTGCCATTAATGAAGCTCTTAAAAGACTTTTGATTGGCGCTTGATGAGAAAGTGACTCGGGCAGCGGCGAGGTAGTTAGGTTAGCAGCAGCTTCCGCCGCAGAAGGGGGACCATCAGATAGGAGCTTCTGTTTGGTTTTATTTCTTTCTGATGGCAAGTCGAAGCCTTTTCAACGCGGTGTAACAGGGTGTCGAGCTTCTGTGATGACATCTGAAATAAAATCAATCCGAGTTCATTACAGGGGCACTCTGTGGAGAGCACGAACCAGCTCTGTAATAGTCTCGAGGCTTTTAAAAGATATATCATCAGAGGCATGAGCTTGAGATATTTTACATTCATGAACTGGGGATGTGGATCAGGGTTGGAAAGTACATTTACTCAGGTGCTGCATTTGCATGTGAATTTGTGAGTCCATTTTCAGATCCCTTATAGTTCAGTATTAGGGAAACATTTTTTTTCTGATGATTACAACCATTAATATAACAGACATCTGATTCTGATGCGTTCAATTTCTCGACTTTTACTCTAGTAACTTCAGCCCCCCTCTCTGCAGCGCCCCCTGGTGTGAGGATACCGGCATCTACAAATGGTTAATATGTGAAACCAAAGTTAAACCAAATCTGTACCATTAAAATGACTTTAACACTTTAATCAGGCAAGGGACCATATATAATAATTTCCGCAGGTTTTAAAAGTGACGGGGTAGAGTCATGTGACTTCATCCAGCCAATCAAGAAAGGTCAGGCTACATCACAACACATGGCCTCTGAACAATTGCGAGTGAGCCAGAGTGATAGTTTGACACAAGTGTCACAAGTGATTTTGAAATAAATGTTTCTTCATCTTTATATGTGTACTTTATTACAGCAATTTATCCACATATTATTTGGATTATTAGTTTTTTTTTTTAACCCTAGGTGAATGAGGAATGGGCTGCAGGGTGGAGCAATGTTTGGCATCGTTGCCTCACAGCAAGAAGGTCGCCGGTCCGCGTCCCAATGGGGACACTGGGATCTTTCTGTGTGTAGATTGCATGTTCTCCCCGTGCAGCGTGGGTTCTCTTCGGGTTCTCCGGCTTCCTTCCCACACAGTCCAAAAACATGTTGAGGTTAATTGGTGATTCTAAATTGTTTGTAGGTGTGAATGTGCTTGGTTGTCTGTCTCTAAGTGTGGCCCTGTGATAGACTGGTGACCTGTCCAGGGTGTCCCCTGCCTTCACTCTAAGTCAGCTGGGATAGGCTCCAGCCCCTAGTGAGGATTAAGCAGTGTATAGATAATGGATGGATGGGTGAGGAACCGTATATGGTAACTGCTTTGATTTTGATTTGAAGCCTGAATCTGAAACTGAAAAGTCAAAAAAGAAAAAAAATTCCTCTTATATGCACCAATAACACTGTGAGGTTGAAATTTTAAACTTCCAAGTATTTCAATGAGTGGCCTATAAGGGTTAGGGTGATTAATATTATGATATGATTAATTATCTTCAATTAATAATATGATTAATTATCTATGACAAAACTGCATCAACCTCTGAAAGTATCATCCAACCCCTCCTTTATGTGCACCATGTGTGCATCCAAACTGTGTGTAAGATCCAGTATATAAGGGTTTTAGAT